CCTGCGGTCTGCAGCGGCAGAAGACGATGATATAGTAATAGATACTACATATAATATATTATTTAGTACAGACGAGCTAGAAGGCCCGGCGTGGGACGGCAACTAGCTAAAAGTCGCGTTAGACGCGTCTGTTTTTACATATATAGCCCCTTCCGCTAGCCGTAGCTACTAAAATGTCAATAAATAATAAAACGGTCACTATAGCAACGCTTTTACCTTTACCACAAAGAAGAGGCCAGCTATACCGCTTCCTAATCCGGCCAAAAATCCAAGGTTTACTATGGATTCACCTTTAAATAAGGCTATTACAGAGGCATATAACCTCCTAGTTAAAGCCGCGGCTGCCGAACCAGACCGCCCAAAATAGAACCAAATACTTGATTTAATTGAAATCTTCCGCAAATACCTTAAAAAAGGCTCTATTAAGAAGGTTTCAGCCATTCTAGCTAATAAGATCACGCATATAGAATCCGCTAGTTAAAAGCTAGAAGCCACCGCCCGGCAAATTGCCCCGAAACCGACTACCCGCCTGCAAGTTAACCTGAAAGGGCCTAGCGCAGCCGTCTTAGACCGCCTAAACGGGCCGAAAATCGCTCCCTAGCCGAAAACCACTTAAAATCAGACATATGCAGCCGCAGCTAAGTCCGCTAACCCTGATTTAGACTGGATTTTGGTTAATTCTACTAAAAAGTCCTCACCGCTAAAGCTAGCTATAAAGAAGCCTCTTACCAGCCGCCGCGTAATCCTAATTAAGGATACTATAGCCTAAAATAATAATTTTTAGCCTCTCACCGCCCGCAATGCTCTAAATAGAGCTTTTGCTAGCAAAGGAGTGAAAGACCCTATAGTACTTTCAGTGTCTAAGTCCCTTTAGGCCAATCTAGTAGTCATAACCATAGAGGCTTACTCAGCTGACTTCCTACTCGCTAAATCCGACATCTAGATGCATTTAATGCCAGGCTACACCGCTTAGAAAGATGTCACATGGCATAAAATCATCGCCTACAGGATCCCCACTTCTGTTTCAACTATCCGGAAGGCATAGAGCTAGTTAAGGACGAAATACGGACTTTTAATAAGGGTCTAACCCCTTTAGGACAGCTATACTAGATCACATCAGCTGAAAATCGCCTAAAATAGACAGCTAGATCCGTGGCAATTGCATTTGCTACGCCTAAAGAGGCTAGCGCAGCCGTCTGAAATAGGCTATATATAGCTAGCATTTCTATATGATATGAAAAACACTATATGACACGTCCCACCGCCCAATATATTAGGTGTTAAGCCTATAGACACTTATTACACTACTACCGCAAAGAGGCTAAGTGCTAGCTATACAGGGAAAAACATCAGATAAAACAGCATGCATACTCTATATGCAATGCTAAGGGTAGGTGTAATCACCTGATATATAAATGCGCTAATTGTAGAGGTCCATATGCAGCTAGCTCCGCTCTATATAAAGTCTATTAGAGCATCCACTTAAAGGCTCCTATATCCTCTCTATAATAGACGCTAGCACTAAAATCCTCTAAGTGAATCTAAATTCAGCCGCCTATAATACGGAATCCGCGCTATAAGTGGCAATTAAGCTAGATATAGATATTATACTAGTTCAAGAGCCCTTTATTATACGCGATTCAGACGGAATACAGTTGATTTCCCACCTCTTATTCACCTAACTCTTCCTAAATAGGCCTAGCCTAGATATCACACCACGCATAATAGCTTATATTGCCAGGTCATACCGCCCTAGGGTTGTCCTAGCCTCGGATTTGCCAAATGACTTAGACTTCTAAGTTCTAGATGTTATAGATTAAGATCATGTGATTAAGATTTATAATATTTATAACAAAAAGCACTAATTACCCGATTCGGACACCCGTACGCTAGCCCGATGCCTATAGCAGCTCTTACCGCCTCTCGATTCGGTCTTTTGCGGGGACTTTAATGCCTATAACCCGTGGTGGGACCCCCTATACGAGGCATGTGATGAAGAAGGCAATACGCTAGCAGACTGGATCGACTACTACGATTTAGCCCTCTTAAATACCCCTGGTATTGGCACCTTCTATCGTCTGCATATGGCTAGGCCGATAAATATCGACCTTACGCTAGCGCATTGATCCATAGCTAATCACATTTAGGACTGGGCTATAGTGGATGATATAGGCTTGGACCATTTTGGGATCATATTTACTATTAACGGTTCCTAAATAGGACTAGCGGATCCATAAACTACCCGTTTCGACACAAAACGGGCAAATTGGACCAAATTTGGGGAAAAACTTTTCTGCTAGCTGTCACCGCTCTAAAATGAGCTATAGGCCTATAGCTACATTTTAAGCTCTAATTTAAGCTTAAAGAGCTTAGAATAAATCGACGCAAAACGTAGCTATGAAGCAACCCTAGACCGTCTGGATGATATAGCGGAATGTTATACTAGCGCCATTTTATACGCTGCACATGATGCTATACCCTAAATCCGGTTAGCGCCACACGCTAAGCCTTAGTGGAACGATTCACTAAAATTACTTTAACGCGATATGAATCGGGCTAGAGAGGCCTCTAAGCGAGCGTTTTCCAGCCAATTAAATGAGCGCTATACTAGCGCCCGCAATATATACTTTTAGGCTATTAAGACGGCTAAAAAGGATTACTGGAACTAGTTTTTGGAAAAAGAGGATTCTAAATCGATTTTTAAAGCCTTAGCCTATACGAAGTTAAGGTGGTTAGAGCTAGTCCCAAATCTGAAGCTTTCTGCCACCCATTTTGCAACCATATTCACTACTAAATGCGACCTCTTCCGCTAGACGCTCTTCCCTCCACCTCCCGAAACAGCTAGCCCGAAGTGGACGTTATACACCGCCTTAGACTAGTGGCAATGGCTAAAGCTAGCACTAGACGAAGTGAAGCAAGCCTGTTCTAGTAAAATCAAATCCACTAGCCCCGGCCCGGACTATATTACCTAGACCATTATTACCCACGCATATTTAGCATGCCCTTCCCAGATTTCACTCCTTTTTAAGACGCTAGTAAACACTGGCTATTATCTGAAGTGCTGGCGCTAAGTGAATTGCGCTATACTACGAAAGAATAATAAGCTAGACTATAAATAGCCTAGCGCGTATCGGCCGATTTCACTTCTAAATTGCCTAGGTAAAGTGAGTGAAAGGATCCTAGCTAAGCGACTAGCTTACTTAGCTGAAACCACACTAAATCTGCTGCATCCTAGCTAAATCGGTGGCCGACTTAAAAAGTCGGCTATAGACGCAGGCGCTATGCTAGCGGATTATATCCATACGAATCGGCTATGAAATAAAATCACTAGTATGCTTCTACTAGACGTGAAAGGGGCATACGACCACGTGTCTAAGAACCAGCTACTTATAATTCTTAAGGATTTAGCCTTTTCCGATTTAGTTATTACGTAGGTCTTATCCTTTATAAGCGGGCGGTCACTTAAGCTTCTATTTAACAGATAATCAGATGAAAACCAGCCTATTTAGACCGGAATCCTATAAGGAAGTCCGATTTCGCCTATCCTTTTTCTAATCTATATATAGGGCCTATTTAGGTCACGTGCAGTCAAATTTATCTCTTATATGGATGATATTACTCTCTCTTACGTATCGACTAGCCCCTGCAAAAACGTTAAGATACTGCAGCTAGTAGCTAAAGAGCTATTTTAGCTAGCTAGTAAAAACGCAATCTAATTTAACCTGAAAAAGTCTGAACTGATTCACTTTAGCACAGGCGAACGCGCTAAGCTAGCATCCCTTATACTCCTAGATGGGACTATAGTCCCCCTAAAGCAGATAGTTAAGTGGCTTGGTATTCACTTTGATGCTCTATTACAATTTAAGGAGCATATCACTATCCGCACTGCTAAGGCTAAGTCCGCATTCGGATGTATATCTAGGCTAGCTAATAGCGAATAAGGGCTTAGTCCTACCGCTTTTAGATAGCTATACCTAGCTTGTATTACTAGCATGTCCGACTATATATTACCAATTTAGTGGCGAGGCTAAGTATATATAAAAGACCACCTATAGCACCTCTAAAATTTGGCACTATGCAAAATCCTAGGCACTTTTCGGACTAGTCCAATTCAGGCCATGGAGGTGGAAGCTAGCCTCCCACTGCCTGTAATACGGCTAGACATAGCTACATATAAATACGCTTTTCGGCTAGCTAAGCTAAGTCTAGAACATCCAGTGAATCGCTAAATTGCTAAATCTAGCTACTTAGGATACGGACTTTAGATGATTGCTAGGACTATCGCACCCCTGCTTAGCGGCAAAATCGAACCTATATACCACTTCCACTTTACCCCTTAGAACCGCTCTATCCCCTGGGACACATGAATCGCTAAATTGCTAAAAGAGGAAACTGCTATGATATACTACTGGCAAATATGGTTATAATTACCAAATTAGGTGTCATACTACTCAGACGGGTCGCAAATGCCTAAAAGCACTAGAATTGGAGTGGGACTAGCGGGCTATAAATGCGCTAGTCCCCCTTTTATACAACTAGCCCGAAATATAGGTCCCCACCAAATCGTCTATAATAGAGAGCTAGAAGGCATTACCCTAGCATTTAAAGATACGATAAGACTAGGCCTAAATAGGGATATTCGGATATATGCAGATAACCAAGCAGCTATTTATAGGCTAGCACGGCCTTCCAATAATCCGGGCCAAATTCACTAGTTGCGTGCTATTGCAGCTGCTACTAAAATAGCCCAAAATGGATCCACGCTAGCAATAGAGTAGGTCCCCAGACACCAAGACATCGATAGAAATAAAGAGGCGGATAAACTAGCCAAACTAGGGTCCAAATCACTTCCGACCACCCAGACCGCCCTGGCTGCTCATACAAGCTATGCCTATATAGGCATAAAAATTAACTAAATATAACGGCATGCATAGGCGAATGCTCTAGCTAGCGGCAAAGGCTACTACTTCAACTTTTTCAACCCACGAATTCACTCTCGAATACAGCTTCCCAAAACGGCTAGATCCACTGCTAGCGCCTTTTTCCAGCTTAAGCTATAATACGGCTACTTTAGGATATACCTAAAACGATTTAATAAAACACCCACTAATTATTACATATGTAGTCACAAGCCTGAATCACCACAGCATC